CACCATAATAGCCGTAAAATTCTCTGGGCCAATCTTTTTGGACTTCATTTGTTATGCGTCGCCCTCTACTGGACAACAATGACATAGTCAGGACTTGAGATGTGTCCTGTCATGCTTCGTCTTTCACGAAGAAGATGACGCAGTTCAGGGCCTGACATGTGTCATTTTTTTTGCCCATAGACAAAAGGCATTTATACACTCCACAACATGGAATGCGTCATGTTGCGCGCTCTTATTGTATGGGGTTCTTTAAGTATCATAAAGCAAAAAAAATCTAGGACCTTAAGTACATACGTTTAAGGTATATCGCTTGCTTTAACACAGATGTTGGGGAATTTCGGGTTTCAGGCTTCGGGGGTGTCTTGCCGAAAGCCTAGAAAGTTCCCCTGTTGAGGACCTAGTGGGGCTGGCCGCGACAAGCAAGACCTGGAACCCTCACAGCTTCTTGAAATTTACGAACACTTACACCCCGGTAAGCAAGACCTAGAACCACCCCACATACGCAGCCTTTAAGGGTTTAAGAGGGTCTAAAATTCAGGGTTACATATACATTTGCTTCTTGAAAATCACGAACACTTATCCCCCGATAAGCAAGACTTAGAACCACCCCACATACGCAGCCTTTAAGGGTTTCAGGGGGTATAAAATTGAGCGTTACATATATATTTGCTTCTTGAAACTGACGAATATTTACCCCTCGATAAGCAAGACGTAGAACCACCCCGCATACGCAGCCTTTAAGGGTTTAAGGGGGGTTTAAAATTCGGTGTTACATAGATATTTGCTTCTTGAAACTTACGGACACTTAGCTCCCGATAAGCAAAACTTAGAACCACCCCACATACGCAGTCTTTAAAGGTTTAAGGGGGTTTACAATTTGCTTGTTGAAACTTACTAACACTTACCACCTCGACAAGCAGGACTGAGAACCACCCCACATACGCAGCCTCTTAGGGTTTAAGGGGGTTCAAAATTCAGTGTTACATATATATTTGCTTCTTGAAACTTACGAACACCTACCCCCCGATAAGCAAGACTTGGAACCCCACATACGCCGCCTGTAAGGGTTTAAGGGGGGTTTAAAATTCGGTGTTACATATATTTGCTTCTTGAAACTGAGGAACACTTCCCCCCCGATAAGCAAGACTTAGCACCAGCCCACATACGCAGCCTTTAAGGGTTTAAGGGGGTTTACAATTTGCTTGTTAAAACTTACGAACACTTACCACCTCGATAAGCAGGACTTAGAACCACCCCACATACGCAGCCTTTAAGGGTTTAAGGGGGTTCAAAATTCAGTGTTACATATATATTTGCTTCTTGAAACTTACGAACACCTACCCCCCGATAAGCAAGACTTGGAACCACCCCACATACGCCGCCTTTAAGGGTTTAAGGGGGTTTAAAATTCGGTGTTACATATATATTTGCTTCTTGAAACTGACGAACACTTACCCCCCGATAAGCAAGACTTAGAACCACCCCACATACGCAGCCTTTAAGGGTTTCAGGGGGTATAAAATTGAGCGTTACATATACATTTGCTTCTTGAAACTGACGAACACGTACCCCTCGATAAGCAAGACTTAGAACCACCCCGCATACGCCGCCTTTAAGGGTTTAAGGGGGTGTAAAATTCGGTGTTACATATATATTTGCTTCTTGAAACTGAGGAACACTTCCCCCCCGATAAGCAAGACTTGGAACTACCCCACATACGCCGCCTTTAAGGGTTTAAGGGGGTTTAAAATTCGGTGTTACATATATATTTGCTTCTTGAAACTTACGAACACTTCCCCCCCGATAAGCAAGACTTAGCACCACCCCACATACGCAGCCTTTAAGGGTTTAAGGGGGTTTACAATTTGCTTGTTGAAACTTACGAACACTTACCACCTCGATAAGCAGGACTTAAAACCACCCCACGTACGCAGCCTTTAAGGGTTTAAGGGGTTCAAAATTCAGTGTTACATATATATTTGCTTCTTGAAACTTACGAACACCTACCCCCCGATAAGCAAGACTTGGGACCACCCCACATACGCAGCCTTTAAGGGTTTAAGCGGGTTTAAAATTCGGTGTTACATATATATTTGCTTCTTGAAACTGACGAACACTTCCCCCCCGATAAGCAAGACTTAGCACCACCCCACATACGCAGCCTTTAAGGGTTTAAGAGGGTTTAAAATTCGGTCTTACATACATATTTGTTCCTGAAACTTAAGAACATCTACCCCCCGATAAGCAAGACTTAGAACCACCCCACATACGCGGCCTTTAAGGGTTTAGCGGGGGTTTAAAATTCAGTGTTACATATATATTTGCTTTTTGAAACTTAAGAACACTTACACCCGGATAAGCAAGACTTGGAACCTGCAGACAACAACAAACACGTCTGTCGCAAAACCCCGGCCGTTGATGCATAGCCTCCGTAATGGGGTATGTCGCGTGTGCGGGCCGCGGCCCTATTACAAGCAATCAATACTGGCATGCGGCCATATGTATGTCCTAGAAGTTACAGCACATGTAAAAAGAATATGATATGTTTCATGTTGTTGTAATAGTTTAAGCACAAACACGGTGGACCGATAACAGTACCACCATGTCGTCTGTGCTGTTTAGTGTGCAGTTGGCGAGATAACAATACACAAACAAGAGAGGGGGAGACGGTGGACCGAAAGCAGTACCACCGTGTTCAGGGACCGAAAACAGTACCCCGCTTTCCCGGAGACCGAAAACAGTACTCCGAGTTGAGTTAACACTGCATTCACTGTAGGCTCCGCGCATTCGATGGTGAGAATCAAAAGCCACCATACCTGACGCCAGACTTTATTTTAATATTAATGTAAAAAAGCGCGCTGTAGAGTTCAAATCATTATACCTTCCGGTCCCTATAGGGTTTTAAGCTACTAACCTTATTTAAATTCGCGGGCCTCCAAACTAATTTAAATAATTCAAATCCTGATTTAAATTATTTAAATTATTTAAATTAGTTAAATGGTCTGTGCTGGGAGAAAATCTGGATCTATTTAGATTCTGTAAATTAATTAAATTCGCGGGCCCGGAAACTAATTTAAATAATTTAAATCCCGAATTAAATTATTTAAATTAGTTTCCGGGCCCGCGAATTTAAATAATATAATTCGAGATTTAAATTATTTAAATTCGCGGGCCCGGAAACTAATTTAACTAATTTAAATACAGAATTAAATTATTTAAATTCGCGGGCCTCCAAACTAATTTAAATAATTCAAATCCCGATTTAAATTATTTAAAGTATTTAAATTATTTAAATTATTTAAATTAGTTAAATGGTCTGTGCTGGGAGAAAATCTGGATCTATTTAGATTTTTTAAATTATTTAAATTCGTGAGCCCGGACACTAATTTAAATAATTTAAATCCCAAATTAAACTATTTAAATTCGCGGGCCCGGAAACTAATTTAAATAATTTAATTCGGGATTTAAATTATTTACATTAGTTTCCGGGCCCGCGAATTTAAATATTTTAAAGAATCTAAATAGATCCAGATTTTCTCCCAGCACAGACCATTTAACTAATTTAAATAATTTAAATAATTTAAATAATTTAAATAATTTAAATCAGGATTTGAATTATTTAAATTAGTTTGGAGGCCCGCGAATTTAAATAAATTAAATTGGGATTTAAATTAGTTAAATTAGTTTCCGGGCCCGCGAATTTAAATAATTTAAATCTCGAATTAAATTATTTAAATTCGCGGGCCTCCAAACTAATTTAAATAATTCAAATCCCGATTTAAATTATTTAAATTATTTAAATTAGTTAAATGGTCTGTGCTGGGAGAAAATCTGGATCTATTTAGATTTTTTAAATTATTTAAATTCGTGAGCCCGGAAACTAATTTAAATAATGTAAATCCCGAATTAAATTATTTAAATTCGCGGGCCCGGAAACTAATTTAAATAATTTAATTCGGGATTTAAATTATTTAAATTAGTTTCCGGGCCCGCGAATTTAAATAATTTAAAGAATCTAAATAGATCCAGATTTTCTCCCAGCACAGACCATTTAACTAATTTAAATAATTTAAATAATTTAAATAATTTAAATCAGGATTTGAATTATTTAAATTAGTTTGGAGGCCCGCGAATTTAAATAATTTAATTCGGTATTTAAATTAGTTAAATTAGTTTCCGGGCCCGCGAATTTAAAAAATTTCAATCTCGAATTAAATTATTTAAATTCGCGGGCCTCCAAACTAATTTAAATAATTCAAATCCGGATTTAAATTATTTAAATTATTTAAATTATTTAAATTAGTTAAATGGTCTGTGCTGGGAGAAAATCTGGATCTATTTAGATTCTTTAAATTATTTAAATTCGCTGGCCCGGAAACTAATTTAAATAATTTAAATCCCGAATTAAATTATTTAAATTCGCGGACCTCGAAACTAATTTAAATAATTCAAATCCCGATTTAAATTATTTAAATTCTTTTCCGAGCCCGTGAATTTAAATAATTTACATAATTTAAATAATTCAAATAGAATGAGGATTTCTCCGAACCCAGACCATTTAGATAATTTACATAATTTAAATAAATTAAATCCTGATTTAAATTATTTAAATTAGTTTCGAGGCCCGTGAATTTAAATAATTTAATTCGGTATTTAAATTAGTTAAATTAGTTTCCGGGCCCGCGAATTTAAATAATTTAAATCTCGAATTAAATTATTTAAATTCGCGGGCCTCAAAACTAATTTAAATAATTCAAATCATTTAATTCTTCCATATGTTCTCCATACATATAGAAAAACAGGTAGCAACATAGTACATAAAGGTCCCTCTCTCATATATATTATATATGTGACTGGCACCTTCAGGGCATATTTCGCCTTGAGCTAATATACACAGAAGCATATATTTACTTTAAACCCTAAACCCTAAACCCTAAACCCTAAAGCCTAAAGCCTACAGCCTAAGCCGAAAGCCTGAGCTGCAGCCCTAAGCTCCCGGCGAGTTGAATAGGTGATACCTCACACATGCTGTGGTTCTTCGTCGGTCAGCAAGAAGTAGGAACTTTCGGGTTCCCTTAAACGGGTTTAGGCTTTAGGGTTATAGTTTAGGGTTTATGGTGAGAGTTTAGGGTTTAGGGTTTAGGGTTTAGGGTTTAGGGTTTAGGGTTTAGGGTTTAGGAATGAAGGAGGGACGATCAAGTGCACTTGGAACGCCATAAATTCCCAAGCTGGGCCCTGGGTCAAGGCATGTTTTTGAGACTTGCTGGGGCTGCCGGCGCTGACTTCGGGCTGTAGGGCTTTAGGGTTTAGGGTACCAAGAAGCTTGTTCAAGCTTTTATAGGGCTTTTTTTGCCGAGCTCGTAAAAGCTACAGTTTAGTAGTTAGGGTTTAGGGTTTAGGGTTAGGGTTTAGGGCTCAGGGTTTGGGGTTTAGGGTTTAGGGACTCATTAGTAGGTATAACCCATTACACTGCAGATAAAGAGAGCCCCCGGTAAACTCTAAACCCACTCGTATGCCGCCCACGGTGCGCAATTCGATCGAAGGGTTTCTGGACCTTGGGGCCAGGATTCAGCATTCGGTCACCAAGTCCCTACACATCCCAAAGCCTCGTAGCGCTAGCAATAGAGCCGATATAAGGCAATCGAACCCTCCAAAATTCCCAAACCCCTGAAACCCTTATGAGCCCTAGACCCCTAAGCCTAAACCCTAAACCATAAACCCTAAACCCCAAAACCCTAAGCCCTAAACCCTAAACCCCTAAGCCTAAACTAAACCCCTAAAACCCCGAAGCGCTGAACCCCTAAGCCCTCAAGCCCTACAGTAAACCCTAAACCCAAAACCCTAAACCCCACAACTCCCTAAACCCGAAACCCTAAACCCTACACTCCTTAAACCCTACACTCCCTAAACCCTAAACCAATGAGGGAATGAGGGTACTGACTGGGCATCCTAGAGGTGTGACAACTCGCGAGACATGATCATGTTTTCGGACATGGGGTTTGGGGTTTAGGGTTTAGGGCGTAGGAGTTTAGGAGTGTAGGGTTTAGGGTTTAGGGTTTGGGGTTTAGGGTTTGAATTGGGGTTTAGGGTTTAGGGTGCTCGCGGTTTGGGGCTCGGGTTTCGGGTTCGTAGGGCTTGGATGCATGCAGTCACGAGATGCATGCATGAGCAGCAACACATCGCAAAGTTGGGGGTTTCTCAAGACTTTGGGGTGAGTCTGGGGCAGGCTTGGGGGTGTTGTGTCTAGGGCTAAAGGCTCAGGGCGTAGGGCTTCGGGTGTTTCCGGGGCCAACAGCCAGCCCCGCAACCCATAGCTTTGAAAGAGAACGGTGGAGGATTGAAGTCATGTATTGCTTCATGCGTTGAATTTCCTGCGCTACATTCGTAGTGCAGGAGTTGCAGTTGGAGCGCCCAAAAGTTAAAAGACGCAGCAACTAATTGTCTGTCGGCTCGTGTGACCGACGCCCGCATAGCACGGAAAGAAAGCATGTGGAGCTGCATGCACATAAACTGCCGCAGACCCTCCATGCAAGCGGCCCTCGTTGGGGGGAAAAACACATGCAAGGTATTGCGCTTCAAGGCAGAACTCACAGGGTATCGATGTTCTCCACAATGTCAACCGGTCCCTGCGCCCGCTTGGGCCTTCTCGTCCATCGGATGGCGGAAAGCAGTACCTGAAAGACTATACGGAATGAACGCACTCTGCGCCTGACACCCCACTTAAACCATAAATGCGCATCTCTTTCCGAACACGACATCCCTCTACATCCCTCACGATAGACTGTACATCATCATTGGCCCTGCTGACTTCAGCAGCTCTCGCGGCAATGTGCCCCTCAGCCATGTAAGGGAAAGTGGTGGGTTTCAGGATCCAGTTCTTTCTCGTGCCCTGCGTCTCGGCGTGTGAAGTTCTTGTAGGGTTTCCGAGGTTTCAAGTGCAGAGTGGTTTAATATCACATGATCATACAAGAATTGGTATAATGTTAGACGATAATAGCAGCAGTCACCCAGCCCTTCTGGACCCAATGCCCCCGCAAACAAAAATCTTCAAGCTGATGCTTAAACCCTAAACCCGAAACCCTAAACCCTAAACCCTTAAAGCCCTCGAGGCACGGGCAAGGACAGGAGGAAGAGGCCTGCGGCAGTCCAGAAAGAGGCCCGGTAGTCTCCAGTTGCCTCGGTTCTTGCGCCATTTACAGGTGGGGCGGTATGTTTGGGAGCGCCGAAGTCACGCTCAGAGTGCGTGAGCCTGGGAAAAATCCGAGGAAACAAACCCTTCAACGGCCCTAAACCCTAAACCCTAAAACCCTAAACCCTTTAAACCCTAGACCCTAGACCCTAAACCCTAAACCCCCCCCCAAAAAAAAACAGAAGGCCGGGTGACGTCGTAGAGGCCACCGGCCAGCATGGGTCCAATGAGGACGCCGAATGCCACAGCGATGCCGACCAGGCCAAACAAGTGTGGGACCCGATCCTGAGTAGGGTTTTGGGGTTTTGGGGTTTAAGGGATAGGGGTTGAGTAATTAGGGTTTAGGGTGTTGGGGTTTAAGGGATAAGTAGGGGTTGATTTAGGGTTTTGGGGTTTAAGGGATAGGGGTTGAGTGATTAGTGATTAGGGTTTCGGGTTCTGGTGGGTTTAAGGGATAGGAGTTGAGTAATTAGGGTTTAGGGTTTTGGGGGGTTTAAGGGATAGGAGTTGAGTAATTGGGGTTTTAGGGGCTCTAGCCCCAAGCTGGAGTAATAAGAACCCTGTACCAATCTCGCAGCCTAACACAACACCGCCTAACCACATTCAGCATTCCGTCGGCCGATCTGCATTCTGGACTCTGTCTTTGGGGGTCTCTCTTGTTCCTGACGTAGCTTATAGAGTACCGACGGGCCTATAACTTCGATCAGTTGGAAGAGCCCCAGAGTCCGAAGAATACCACTCCAGAACGAAACCTTCATCATACTTAAGGTAACCCAGACCCCACGAAACCTAAACCACCTTAGCCACAACTCTGAAAACCCCCCCACTCCCCCACCCCCTCCTGGTCCTCCCCGCCCCTCCTCCCTCCAGCCCCCACACCAAAACGGCACGTCGTCCCCAACGAAGGACCAGCCTCCTCCAGCCCGAAAGCTGTGAAAGCGATGAGCCCTGCAAAGCCCCTTCGAACCCTTGTGGACCCTGGCAGTTCTTGAAGCCCTAAACCCATGAACCTTTGGAGATCTAGATCCCAAGAACCCCTCCCTGAAACCACCCAACTACGGTGGCGATCAAAGAACCCAGAGATCCTCAAATCCCGAAAAGCCGCAACCCCCTCGAAGCATTCACAAAATGCGTAAGCCTAAACCCTAAACCCTAAACCCTAAACCCTAAACCCCAAGCCCTAAACCCTAAACCCAGAAAGTTTTGTCAAAGCTTCGGCTCCAAAGAGCTCATTCATCACCAGGCTGATCATGGCCGTGCGGATCCCTGAGATGAAGCCAAATGAGGCCTCCGACTGGGAAGTTTTAGGGTTTAGGGTTTAGGGTTTAGGGTTTAGGGGTTGAGGGTTTAGGGGTTTAGGGGGTTGAGGGCTTAGGGTTTTAGGTGGTCTAGGGTTTAGGGTTGAGGGGTTTAGGGTTTCAGAGGTTGGGGGACTAGAGTTTAGGGGTATTTAGGGGTATAGGGCTGGGGTTTTAGGCTCAGGGTTGACGGTTCTAGGTTTAAGGCTTAGGGGTTTTGGGGTTGGAGGTTGAGGGTTAGGGGTTTAGGGTTTAGGGGTTTAGGGGCTTAGGGTTTCGGGGTCAGAGGTTTTGGGTTTAGGGGTTTGGGGAGCGGGGGGGGGGGGGGTGAGGGATTAGGGTTTACTCCACTTCTGTTGAGAATGGGAGTGGAGGGGTCTCCAAAGTGGTCTAGGGTTTCGGATAGATAAAATCAAACTATACAATGGTGCTTAATGCCAACCTCGGTACATAGGAATTATAGTCATCATGACTTGACCATCTATTACTACAACAATAATACGGATAATGGAACGACCAATGCTTCTTCTTGGTCCGGGTAGGTTTGGGGCCTGTCAGCCCCAAACCCTAAGTCCTAAACCCTAAACCCCTAAACCCTAAACCTAAGCCCTAAGCCCTAAACCCTCGGTTATGGAAACGCCAAGATGCTGAGAAGCCCTGCAGAGCCGCCCCGGACGCGCAGAAGGGAAGCCAAGACATCAGCACGGCCTCCCCACGCCCCCAATCTGGGCAGGTTTAGGGTTTAGGGTTTAGGGTTTAGGGCTTAGGGTTTAGGGTGTAGGGTTTGGGTTTCGGATTTCGGGTTTAGGGTTTCGGGTGTACAGGGTTCAGGGTGCCGGGTTTAGGGTTTAGGGTTGTCCCCAATCTAGGGATTCGACCTTGGACCCTTAAGGTTGTGCCCTTGGGTTTCGGGTCCCTTTTTAAGGATCCCTAAGGGAATATAAGCCACATTCGGAGTATTATACTAAGGGGAACTTTGAGGGGTACAACCTTCGGGGTACGAGCACTACAAATCCCTTTTCGTCTTTCATCACCCAAGAACACAAGGCAACACCAAGCAGCCCTAAGCGCGAAACTCTAAACCCTAAACTCTCCACTCGAAAGCCTACCCTAAGCCTTAAACCCTAAACCCTAAACCCTAAACCCTAAATCCTAAACCCTAAGCCCTAAACCCAAACCCTAAACAAGGAACCCTCTTCAGATCTTTATAACGGAAGCAGGGACCCCTGGGAGCCTCTGCGTAACCCGCAGTTTGGGCTCAGGCTTTGGGCTGGTCGCGGCTCAGACAAGAAGAGTTAAAAATACCCTGAACCCTAAACCCTAAACCCTAAAACCCTAAAACCCTAAACCCCAAACCCTAAACACTAAACCCTCTGTCAATCCTGCCTGGGCCGCGATCACCCAAAGGAACATGGTCGTGGGCCGGAAGGCGAGGGCAAGGAAGCCGCCTCTATAGGGTTAGGGTGTAGGGTTTAGGGTGTAGGGTTGAGGGTTTAGGGTGTAGGGTTTAGGGTTGAGGGTTTAGGGTTTCTGCTCCAGCTTCAACCCTAAACCATATAGAGCAAAACTCCTGCAAGAACCTGAACGTTCGAAACTCCTGACAGCCCCAACCCCCAGCCTGCAACCAGCCCCTCCCCAAATCCCCAACCCCAAAACCCCAAACTCTACAACCCCCAAACCTCAACCCAAAACCCCAAAACCCCAAAACCCCAAAACCCCAAAACCCCAAAACCCCAAAACCCCAAAACCCCAAAACCCCAAAACCCCAAAACCCCAAAACCCCAAAACCCCAAAACCCCAAAACCCCAAAACCCCAAAACCCCAAAACCCCAAAAACCCAAAACCCAAAAACCCAAAACCCAAAAACCCCTAACCCTAAACCCTGAAACCCTGAAACCCCAAAACCTCGAAACCCCAAAACCCCAAAACCCCGAAACCCCCAAACCCCCCAACTCCCAAAACCCCAAAACCCCAAAACCTCAAACCCCCCAAGACCCCAAACCACCAAACCCCCCAACTCCCAAAACCCCAAAAAGCCCAAAACCTCAACCCCCAAAACCCCAAACC